GGAATGCCATGGTTTTGCTATCAACTAATGTTTATAAACTTTGTAGTGTGGATTATGCTTTAAATATGTTTTGTTTGTACTAAGAACTATTGCTGTAAGAAGAGATTCAAATGTTTAATTTATTAGTTAGGTGCTTTTTTCCAAGTGTTTATCTTATCGTGTGTTAAAGCCAGACTAGGCCAGAAGTGTCAAAGTGAGCTTCTGATCCTTTGTATTTGGAGACTACACCCATTTGTTGCTAATAATGATACATTAATTTCTGAATTGCTTGACTTCTCTTTAGGAGCGTGGCCTGTTCTTATAGATGATTTTGTGGAGTATGCACGACCAGTAGTCACAGGAGGAAAACGTAAAACTTCCTAACCCCGGGCTTGTCAATATGGACTAGAAGTGCGCTCTGAACTGCATTAGGTAATGAAGATTTGTTGACTGATAACTGCGCATTGTTGCTGGTTTCAGTGGTCGTGATGACATTCTGCAGACAAAACTGAAATTCTTCCTTTCTGCCTAACGAAAATGATGGCTGAATTGTGGACACTTCAAGAACAAACTCAGAAGATAGTCCAGGCTGTTTGTAGGCTATTGGCTTCAACTATTGTACTGGTTGTATCATATAGGATGTAGATTTTTGCATGATTTTATACTTCGGAGAAGTTTAACTAGAGGCCATTTTATTACAGTTTTGACAGCACAGCATGCAATTCAGTTCGTGATCCAAAGTGAACACCAGCAGTTACATAAATAAAACTGTATTATATTGTACTTATATTAAAAGCAGTATTTGTGGTATATAAATTAAATCCCTAAATAAAACTTACGCAGTATGTTGTATTTTTATAAAAGTGAGCTCCGTGGATCTGTCCTAATAGAGAATTGTAACAAAACAAAAAAACTTATGCGTTTTTTTTTTTTACTTGTTGCCAAAATTTTAAATTTGTATTTTTAAGTCTTAGATGTATAGATTGATTACATCCAGCCTTTTGTTTTCTCCCAGTGAGATTAACTTCCTCATTATTGAAGTGCTTGGACATGTGGCGTTGCTGAGGAAGGGCTGCTGCTCTACACTATGTTGCAACTCCAGCTTTTTTTATTAACCATTTTAAAGTATGCATTAAACAACCAAAGATGCTTTTATAATTCCTGTTTGATTATCGTAATTCAGTTAGTCTTCAGTTATGTGTTTTATTTACTTTATTTTAAATAATGAACTGGTGGAATATAACTTTTAGTTTTATTTGTAGCCTGAAACATACTGTAAATTCTAGCTAAATGGAGCGTAGTTATAAATGCAATTCCTGGCACTTCTCACAGAAAATAAATGTGAATAAGCCCAAAGACTTAACTAGTTGGCTTCCGCTTTGGAGAAATAGTTAGGGGTAAGGAGACATTACATTAATGATGATGAGCATTCATGCCTCTGGATGTATTGTGCATTCAGTAACATTTATTTAAGGGGAAAAAAAGAGTAAATTAATGCAGTATCATTGATCTCAGGGCTAGTGGAATTGGACTAGTTTTCACCAAATCTGAATTTGTTCAGTCATTTGTTTGTTCCCTTTCACCAGCTATCGATTATAAAGTGTACAGAGGTCAGTCTCCTCTTTCTCAACAGTGTCTTCCAATGCCTAAGCACAAAAGAGTTTTACCAGAAACTATTCAACGCGTCTTCACACAGGGCTCTCTTAAATGCTACCTCATCAAAATGAGTTTGTCATAGCCAATGTAAAAGTTCATTAAAACAAAGAGTTGCTAGGGAGTATGTACAGCTATGATCAACATATTTTCTGTAATCAGAGCTGAATAGACGCAAGAATTTTGGAGAAAATAGTGTATTAAGTTATATAATTTATATCTGTTTGGATCACATCGGATCATTTAAGTATTGCATGTCAGCATACTATTTTATTTTGTAGTTGTGAGGGTATAAAAGCTTACAATATTCTCTTAAACTCTAATATTTAGAGTTTCATATAAGCAGTCAGCTTTCATTTATGTCAATGCAGCCTACAGGAACAAATGTACGTGCTGCGTACAGAAAGATTACCTTCATTCTTCCGCTTGAGAGAATTTCAGTTGTCCATGATGTTTAAAAAGCAGGGTTAGGACAAAACTGAAAAAAATAGCAAGTTTTCTGTTAATAAGAATATAGCAGGCAAGTTACAAATGCCCCATGAGTGATTTATATTAGTAGTCTTTTTACCCTAAGCAGGATTTGGAAATGTTAGACCTTGCACGGCAGCCACTAGATGTCAGTGTCCCAGCCTTCAGCTGCCTCTCTCTCCCCTGTGTAGCGTTAGGGAGTAATATTAAGCCAAATTATTACTTTCTGACTACATCTTTTTAGAAGGGTGCTTGTGTACATAAGTCCAGGTACGCTACCGAAGTGGTTGGAGATTTAAAAACAGTATTATGCTCTTTCTAATGCATTTGATTTACCTACTCTTCCTTCCCAGAACAAGCCATTTCTGTATCTGTCCTGTAGGCTTTGGAGGATGCGTAACATCTTGTCACATCAAGGGCGTTTATCCAGCCAAAAGCGGTGGAATGCCTGTTGTTCACACAGTTGCCACTTAAAATATATAGCTATAATATAACTGACCAGAAGTAGTTTAATCTGTTGGTATGTGATGTAACTGAATAGTTCCATAGTGCTAGAGCTTGTGAAACATTTGTTCATGCTGAGAAGTCCCTCAAATCAATCTGATTAACCTTTTCCCTTTTAAAATAAATAGAGCATAAAAAATGCATGTGGGTTGAGGTTTTTTGCCTTGTTAACCTGAGGAAGAAGGAAGGTGCTTAGCACAGTATTCAGTTTCTATATGTACACACTTATTCACTTACTCTTAAGCCTCATTCCTGTGAGGATCCTTCATGGAAGACACCTTCCAACAAAGGAAGACTGGGCAAAATACTCTGGGCAAAATACTCTCAAGATAGGAATTGCTCCTTATCAGCCAGCTTCCTAGGCATAGTATGCTTTTTCTTTTTCTTTTATTCTTCCTAGTCTTCTACCATTTTGAAACCACATACGCATTTTACATTCCCATAAATGATAGCATGGAGTAACACCTTCACACTTGAACAATCGTAAAAATAAATGCAAATAAACTGCTTTCAAATTATGAGTTACGTATTTTAATAATTTGCTGCTGTCCAAAGTTCTGCTTTACAGGGCACTCAGACTCCCTTTTTAGGTAAGCTGGTACGGTGGTAACCCCTAGGCTGATCAATTTATAATCATAAATGGTACAGATGTCTTCAAGTTGTTCAGTGCATACGGTATGCACCGTTCCTAGATATGCTGTATGTATTTTTAAACTTGGTGCCAAGTTGTTTGGTTTTACATCCTAGAGTGTTTGAAACTGAGCCATAGGATTTGTACTTGCCAATTCTAAATTTAAATGTAATTTATCATGGATGTCATGCCAAGGAGAGCAAACCTGCAGGCATCTGCTCATTCAATGCACCTGAGAGATTTGCTGCTGAGTAAGCTGTACGTGTGTAAATTTTGTGGCAATGGAAAAAGGAATAAATGGACTGTCAACATAAAGGATTGAAGTCAGTCATGTGAGATGTCTGTATGGTTTTTGTCAGCTTTCTGCTTTGGAAGCCTTGCAAAGGCTGGTGGGTTTTTTTTGTTTTCTAGTTAATTTATTGGATTCTTGCATTATTATTCCATCAGTCAGAAGAGAGTAAGGATGTAACTCATTAATTTTTAAGCAGTTGTAATAAATACCTGTTTTGCTCATCTGTGCCACCTTTAAGCTTTTAAGAAGCTCACTGTGTTTAGCTGCAGTGGTGCATCCACTACATGTACCTGCTAGCGACCAAGCTCTCTGCAATTTGTGTCATTAGTTTGTACTGGCAATGAGGGGTGTAATTGCAGGGAAAGTCTTGCTCAGTCCTAGGCTCTGAGCTCTGTAGGAGAAGCAGCACGCTCAGAAGTCTGTGCAAAGACCTTCAGAGGTATGTATTCAACTGTCCTTAATTCTCTTCTGAAAGTTTAAATCAAAATAAGTAAGTTGTCCTCCGTGCTCTCCCAGCTGGCATCCCTCTCCGGTGGTTTCACCAACCACCGGCTGCTTTGGTATCACACGAGTCTCTCTTCCTTCTCCTGTAACAGCGCAACTGCTGATGCTGATACTTGAACCACGGCAACTGGTTCTTTTCCTTTCAAGTGTCGGCACCAGTAGCCTCCCTCAGCTGATGCTAACCAGCATCTGGCACACCAAAAGACGTGTGTTTTTCCCTTCTGAAAGGGAAAAAGTGTAATGTTTTACAGCCGTGAGAACTCTTTTTAAAAAACGTTCAACAAAACGTGTTTTCTGACCTTTGCGTTATGTACAGTATGTTGGGTAGAATTAGGTGAGGATGACACACCTCTTAAAAGGGCTTTTTTTTGTTATAAACTGTTGACAGAGGGGTCTGCAACTGCAGCTACCGCTATAACCACAGGCAGAAAATTCCGTATTTCAGACAAGTGGGTACAATGTTCACCTCTTACTGAGAAAGGCCTGGGGAAGTTTAAGGGCATTCAAATTTTGATTGAGTATAATTATTGGGATACTTCCTCTTGTTAGTGCGTGGACTTGACAAATTCCCATGTGTGTTTTCTTGTGCCTCTTTTACAAGCAGTGAAATACTCTTTGTTGTTGGGCAAACCCTATAGGCTTCATGTCATGACACAGGCTTTCTGTCAAGAGGGTAAAGAAGAAAGCAGTCCACGCTGTGGTGTTAAAGGGATATTTTTCCTTTAAGATGGTGGTGTAAAGCGGTATGAAAATGATTCATCCCCACTATTAAAGAGTTGAGTAAAACCACTCTATTTTTTCCTGGATCTCAATGAATGTGTTCTGTAATTAGTATCGTTCCTAAAGGAATGATCCTGTTGCCAGAGTGAAACCCTTCACTTCAGTAGTGGCAAAGATGCAGCTCTGACAGAAGTCTGACACCCACTTGGTATCAACCCTACTTTTCCAGGATATGGCTCTGCCTCCTTTGGATGGGCGAACTTGGAATCAAGAGCATTTCTCTGCTGAGTGTCTTTGAATGGCAGATGCATCGCTTACTCATGGGTGAAGTACTTCTTCTTTTAACTTAAAATGCTGAAGGGCTTGTGGTGACAGAGCAGTCTCAGCCCATGTTCCGTTCACCGGTTCCTTTATTCATAAGAGACAACAGTGCCTGTATATCCCAAGAGCCATCTCCTGGGCAATGGAGAGCATTGGTTTGCATCCCCTCAGGTGGAGGAGGCAGGTGGAGCCACGTTTGCCGAAGGCATGCTTTCATGTTCTCACGGAGGGTTCCAAATGCGGTTGAGCTGAAACAACAGCGTGTTGCCACCAACATGAAAAAGCCTTTTCTCTGTCCTGCCTTCCCATTCCTTTTTTTTCTGGATTCTCCCCATCTGAAAGCAGTCATGCGTACACTAATGAGAGGACACCAAAGCTGCGTTTTTATCTGATTTAACATTTACCAAACATTTTTTGCCAGCTCTACTTGTTGGGTTTTTTCCTATTGTGAATACGTATAAGTGAACACTTATCCATCTTAATGGAGTTATTGTATTTTGGCTGTGTTTAAGATCTTCAAGTATGATATTTTACAAATAATTGTCTCTTTTGTTGGGAGTAGAGGTAGATATCAGTGTGCCTCTGCCCAGAAAGCTCATAGTGGCTGGAAGTACCACATGAAAAGGAGATCATGTCCAATTAACAAATTAAATGAAAGCTAAATTCCTTGTTGCATGTTCTGTTTTGCAGAGTTGAAAAATAGAACTTCTCTGAAATTTTCTCTGGGTGTTCATTATAGCCTTATTTCTGAAGCCAAAGATTTTATTCCTAATTTGGGCTGTGTTACGAGCAGCCAAGTGTGCATGCAACAGCGTGAAGTCCACTGGAGGCAAAAGGGCAGTGCAACTGCCAGCCGCATTCAGAAGGAAGAGATAAATGGAAAACTAAGAATAGCTTTACCCATTTTCAGGAAGGAACCTTCCATCTGATGAGGCCCTTACTAGCTCTCTGCGGTGCCTCAGCAGGTGATTTCCCCCGCCCTTGCTTTGCTAGTTCAAATTCCCATGTGCTTCCAAATCGTAATGCTCTGCGGGAATAGAGAAGGGGTGGGTGCTGCAGAAGGGTGCATGGATCTGTAACGGAGACATCAACATCAGTGCTTCTGCCTGGTGTGGTTTTCATAAGCTGCTCTGGCCTTAGTTTTCCATTTTGAGCGTTCA